TAGTTTGATAAATATTAACTAGATCACTGGTATCATTACTACTGAATGAGGAAGTTTCCTATACCAAAAGATTAATTGGAGGGGAAGCTAGTAATTTTGCAGTTGTATTTGAGAAAGTAAGGCCAATTAAATCCTTGTAACAAAATTCTAGTAGCTAGAATTAATCATTTTCTTTTCACCTTGTCCTATGTGTTAATTTATTCCTTTACAAAATATATTGATATGAGCTTGACTTACCTACAGTCAAACAGTTTAATATTGTTCCTAGTTAGTGTTGTGATGTATTGACTATTAGGTTATAACTCAAATACCCATCCTTATTACAGTTGGCTTAATTGTAATTTCTGCCTGGGACCTCTCGCCCCTAACGAAAATGGGAGTTTCCATCTAAAATACAGTAATGCACTTGCATTAAATAGATGCAATTTTTAAACTGTTCCATTATTTCACATGTAACTCATGTAGGATAACAGCAGGAGCCAACTTTTTTGGAAGGTGTGCCACAAATTAGTCCTGACCCCTCCAAGTGCAACTCTGATCCCTCTTCTTCTGTCCAACCTACTGTTCTGCTTTCTGCTCTCTGCCCAATCTCCTCTACTTCTGCTTCCTGACCTATCCTCCCTTCCTAATCTCCTGTTCTGCTTCTTGCCCTATCAGTTGCTGCCATGTGCCACACAGACAGTTACTATGCCAATCGTGGCACGCATGCTGCAGGTTGGCCACCCCTGTAATATGAAATGATAAATGTGGACTTGAAGAATGTCCTATTCCTATTACTAGGAGTACCTAGCACATATTATTAGTACATCAGTCCCTGGAAAAATCATGGAGCAGGTCCTCAAGGTATCCATTTCTAAGCACTTGGAGGAGGTGATTAGGAACAGTCAGCATGGATTCACCAAGGGCAAGTCATGCCTGACTAACCTGATCGCCTTCTGTGACAAGATGACTGGCACTGTGCATGCGGAGAAAGCAGTGGATGTGATATATCTTGACTTTAGCAAGGCTTTTGAGATGGTCTCCCACAACATTTTTGCAAGCAGGCTAAGGAAGTACACATTGGATGAACGAACTGTAAGGTGGATAGAAAACTGGCTGGATCATTGGGCTCAAAGGGTAATATTGCAGGGTAAAATGGCTTGATGTCTAATTGACAGCTGGTATCAAGTGGAGTCCCCAGGGGTCAGTCTTAGGACCAGTTTTATTCAGTATCTTCCTGAATGACCTGAAAGATGAGATGGAGTGCACCCTAAGCAAGTTTGCAGATCACGCCCTGCTGGGGGGGGGGAGTAGTAGATAAGCTGAGGAGTAGAGCTAGGGTTCAGGGAGACCTCAACAAATTGCAGGATTGGACCAAAAGAAATCTCATAAGGTTTAGTAGAAGCAAGTGCAAAGTCCTGCACCGGTATAGGCTGGGGGCTGACTGGCTAAGCACCAGCTCTTCAGAAAAGAACTTGGGGGTTACAGTGGACACTAAATTGAATATGAACCAACAGTGTGAGCTTGTTGCAAAGAAGGCTAATGGCATACTGAACTGCATGAGTAAGAGCGTTGCCAGCAGATCTAGGAAAGTGATTATTCCCCTCTATTTGCCACTGGTGAGACCACAGCTGGAGTACTGTGTCCAGTTTTGGGCCCTCCACTACAGAAAGGATGTAGACAAATTGGAGAGAGTCCAGCAGAGGGCCACAAAAATGGTTAGTGGGCTGGGGCACATACATGTCTTCTGAGGAGAGGCTGAGGGAACTGGGCTTATATAGTCTGGAGAAGAGAAGACTGAGGGGGGATTTAACAGCAGCCTTCAGCTACCTGAAGGGTGGTTCCAAAGAGGATGGAGCTGGATTGTTCCCAGTGGTGGAAGATGACAGAACAAGGAACAATGGTCTCAAGTTGCAGCAAGAGATGTTTAGGTTAGATATTAGGAAAATACTTTCTCACTAGGAGGGTAGTAGAGCACTGGAATGGATTACCCAGAGAGGTGGTGGAATCTCCACTGTTGGAGGTTTTAGGCTAGACAAAGGTTTGGCTGGGATGATCTAATTGGGGATAGACCTGCGTTGAGCAGGGGGTTGGACTAGATGACTTCCTGAGGTCCCTTCCAGCCCTAATTGTCTATTATTCTATTTTAAAGTTGGTCCAAAGTCATTTGCTTTAATCAGGCTTTTCTTTGTATAATGTAAGATGGAATTTACAAGGGGAGGAGGTCCAGAAGTCTCAAGCTGGTAGTCACTGGGCCCTCTGTTACGTGTCGAGGGTGAGGGAAGGAAAGTTCACTTTTAACATAGCTTGCCGCCATCAGTTTTTCGAGGTATTTTTCTTTAGTGGGGAGAGATCATCAGGCTTGCAAAGAAAACCATGATGTCCTGTCAAAATAAACAGACCAAAGATCTGTTGGGAAATCAGAGTTTACTTGCATGACTCTGCGTCTTCTCCCTCTGGCAACTGAGCTCACCAGGGAACCAAGCTATTGACAGATTCCACCTCCCTGCTTCACACAGCTAGAAGCCTAGAAGTGACTGTGTCCAGTAAAAGTATCATTTTGGCCGCTCTTCTCCAAAGTCCCTCTAAGGAAGGAAGTGGCCGCTCTTCTCCAGAGTCCCTCTAAGAGTCTGGTTTCCACTAAACACAAGGTGTAAGTGCAAAAGGCCTTCTATAGGTATTGGAGAGTGAGAAACAAAATCATTGTGTTGATTCTTCTCTTATGTAAATGAAAAGCACTTTGTCTTGACTACGCATCATTTGCTCCTGTCCAGACTGTATGCTGCAGTGTGCCAGGAAGCTCTTTGAAGAGAACCCTTCTTAACTTTACTAGTAACATTGGACCCCTGGCTTATCATGCACAGTATCAGGGGTATGCAGTACATGCAAAGATGGGAGTTTTGTAGGCTAGCTTTTCACCATGTAAAAATGTCATTGACCAATACACTTTACTTAGCACTGCATCCATTGTTAAGCTAGTAATTTTTACAGCAAAAATGACCTTTTGCAGACAATGATTATTAACAATGGATGCAGTGCTAAGCAGAGTGACATCTCTGATATAGAAAAGGTTAAAGTAACAGGCTGTTATATTTGAAACAAACTGAAGAAAAATTCAAAGCTGTCAATGGCCTCAAGCATTCTGACTCATGCCAGTAGAGTTTAAGAATCATTAAATGAAAATAGAAAACCTATAAGTATATCTTGAAGTTAATTTTTTTGGTCCTCCCACCAATAAGTTTCTCCCTTGGTGTAGGAATATATGTAAGAATATATCCAAATACTGCAGGGATTGAATTATGTTGCAATAAATCATGTCTAGTTGCATGGACAGAATTCAGCCTTTGGCATACCAGGTGTGAATTATTGCACCATAATTCACAGACTGTCATGTCTTATTGCTTAATTTGAGATCCTTGATTTAAAGCATAACTTGTTGAAGTATACCAAAGCAATGCAAGAACTTTACACTCAGATTCTTATAAAATCAATGGCTGGTGAAGATAAATTCTACTGCCCACTTTGAAAACTACTTTCATAGGCCTCCTGTTCCAGAATTATCATCAGAATTATCTCATTATATGAGAGATCTCTCTCTCATATCTCTACACCACATTTGACCATTTTATTACACATGCTTGTCCTCATTTAATGTACTTTGTGAGATCTTTCATTGAACAGGGGCCTTCAAGCAGCAGGCATTGCAGCAGTTGTTGCATAGTCTGAGGCTCTGTGCCACAGTCACAGGTGGTTGGTATAACCCTACTTCATTAGTTCCTGGGAGCATCCAACTCCAGCATTTAGTCCATTGAGACATCGCCACCTTTGCCATGATTCCTCAGCCCCTGATGGCAAGGACTCGGTCACTAGAATGGCCATTTTTTGCCACCATACATTTACTTCAGCCTTTTGTTCCACATCTGTAGTCGTGTCTCCTTGGGCGTGGCATCAACAGGTTGGGTGCTGGTGAGGAAGCTCCTGCATGACTTCAGCTGTTCGTATGCTGCAGGATGGTCGTACAGCTGCTGTCTTGCATCTTCAGTTTGTCTCAATCATTCTATCCTACTGGCCACTGCTCTTCTGATGTCAGTAAGAGCGATGCAGCCCTCAGGTACATACTATTTAGGCTAGTAGGCTTTAGACATCCTGTGATTCCTGAAGCCTACTAGCAGCTATCATTCAGAATGGAGTCATGGTGCTTAGCATGTACAAATCTCTCCCATACAAGGCATACGTACTTGGCAGAGGAGAAGCTGGAGAGCCAGAGCAGTGGTTCGAATGGTTTCAGAATGAGAGTATTTCTGTTATCCTAACAAAGAACTGAATGTAACAGGCGTTTAATATTTTGTGCTTCCTATTATAGCAATAGCAAACAAACAAGTCTCTTACTCAGAGAGTTTTTCAAAATGAACAAACAATGCATGCTTGATTGTAGATAGTATTTGCAGTAGAAGTGTCAATGGAAATTTCAAGGCATGTTGCCAAAATGCAATAAATAATTTTACAAGATGTCATGGTGTCAGTGAATCTGTAGCTAGGCAGGAAATATGCGCATCTATTTCCTGCTGGTGACCTCAGCTATTGTAATGATCAGTTTGATCTGGCTTGCAACTGATATAACCCCATTGTAGTTGTGCAGGTTTAAGTTAGGACAAAGTTTGGTCCACAGTATATATTTGGTCCACAGGCTACTTCAGATGTTCCCAGTGTCAGCTGCTTTTGAGTTACAGTAAATAGTCGCATTGTGGATCTGTATAATACTGCTTTCATTTCTTCTTCTAAACTACTTCAAACAAATTGCACAAGTTCTAGTACCACATGAAAAATAGAGGTCAAAGAAATGTCTTTATATTCCAATTCATCTGAGTCATTCTGGAGTAATTATCTAAATGAAATGCCCATAAATCATGGAAATGTAGAATGAGAATTCAGTTAAGAATAGATTATTTATTATGTGAATTGTGTTGTTGCCCAAAAAGTCTTAAGCAATATATTAATTGTATTTTTTAATTAAATTCTAGCTGGACAACTTAGCCAGTCAGCACATTTTGCTCTCCAGCTGCCTTACAGTGTGCTTGGTTTGGGACGTAGTGCCAATTTCCTCGATCACTTGTATGTTGGCATTCCTCGTCCTTTAGGAGAAAAGGTAAGGTTAAGATTTACCTTGAATAAATTATTATTTTCCAGTGTTTTTCTAACCTGATAAATTCTGTAGCTTGCTATTCCTAAGCCTACTTTTTGAGACGCCAGAATGATGAAGCCATTTTGAGTTCTGAAAAGTTTGCTTGAAGACAACAGTGTGTGTGTCTGTTTTCTCCAGCCTGCACTATCAATCTTTTAACCTTTTATGTCAACAATAAGACAAAAGTTGCACTCAAAAAGAGCACAGGCATAGTTCTTGTGAACTGTTAACATAGGAGTATAGTGCTTGTTTAAGTTATAGATACTTATATTTGACCTAGAGTCTCACCAATTTATGCTGTGATTAACATCAGATTAATTTAGTAAGCATGGTCTGGATGTGTTAAGTACTTGGATAGGAAAAATGCGAGAATCACAAATGCAGCAGGAAAATGACTCGGTTGCTTCTTGAATCACTTTCTTCGTTAATAATGAGCTCATTATCAGCATGGTAAAAGGTATTCTGCTGAATGGACCTTCCTTTGGATGGAAGTGTGAAGCCCAGGTTCTGACCATGTATGATTGGTCAAGATCCCATATCCTATTTTAAGAGTTAGTATTCTGGTTGAATTATAATTTGGATAATTACATTCTGACTACATAAAATTCCCCTACAGAATCAGTTCTTCACTTCCTACCGTAAACTGCAGTGCCAGTGTGCACTTAAGTAGAAGCCATGTTTTACTTCAATGATGGCTATGTCTGTGGTGGATGCAGTGATCAGTAGTTTTTATTTGGCTTGTAAATTACTTCAGAATCCAAGCTAAAAATTAATCTAAATGTAAAATAATTATCCCCATCCATCCCTGACTCATGAAAACCACTTGAACTTTCTGTTCTTTCTTGTGTAAATTTAATCAGGAAATGTCTAAATACTTCACAAAATAACACCTCTTCGGTTTTAAGAGGTAAATCTAACTTTTGTGTCTTCTTGCAGTCCGCACGGAAACAGGAATGGACAGCTATCATCCCAAACTCCCAACTTATAGTCATTCCATACCCTCACTATGCTCCTCAAAGGTAATGTTATTAATTGGACTATATGTTACAAAATTATAATATAGAAACAGATTTTTAATTGTGTATCACTTTGTTATCCTCCATATTTTCATAAGCAAATTAAGGAAATGTGGCCTAGATGAAGTCACTCTAAAGTGGGTGCCCAAGAGGCTGCAAAACCACTGTCAAAGACTACAGTCATCCATAATAAAAACAGGTGGTTATTTTTAAGTGATATGCTGTCCTGGTCCCAGTTCTTATCAGTACTTTCATTAATGATTTGGAGGATGAAATAAGAGTATATGTTCATAAAAGCTGCAGGCAACACCAAGACAGGAGGTACCTTAGCACTTTGGAAGGCAAAGAGATGTTGATAAATGGGAGAACCAGTCTAAAATCGATTAATGAAATTCATATAGACAAAGGTAAAATACTGCATTTAAAAATAAATATAAAATTGGAGATAACTGGCAATGCAGGTAGCCAAAAAAGGAGCTGGGAGTGATAATGGATCATGAACTGTTCAAGTCCGCAACGTGGTGCTATTATAAAACCTGACAAGTCTTATATTGGAGTATTCTATCAGGAGGATTATATATAGGATACAAGAGGTAATTATTTCCCCCTAGGGGAGAATAATTGCATCCAGAACAACAGGGTGAGCGGCAGCTAAGCAGTAGTTCAAGGGCTACAACTTAACCCTTCACAGTCCAGGCCACCACTTGAACAGCCCTGTGCTGAAGGATTTGGACATTGGCCTAAACTAGATGTGGAAGTTTGGGTGAGGTACACTAGTCCTTAGAAACTTGGTATGTCTTGCCCACACAGGCAGGAGCAAGCTGATCACTAGATTTGGGTTTAGGAAGAATTTTTTCTCCAGACCAGGACCTTTGAATATTTTCCCCCTTCTCTGCAATGTCTGAGATTATCTGGGCATATTTTAACTTGACTGATTTCCTGTCTTAGTAGCAAAGTGTTACCAGTACCCTCATCTTCCCCTACCCTTTACTAGTGGTCTGTTGTAGAGTGTTTTATTGGATGCTGTGAGGCTCTGAGGTGCAAGAGGACCAAATTAGATGTTATTGTGGACACTTTTGGACAAATTGTTGCTTGCAAATGTGAAAGACTGCAGTTGATGGCCTCAGAGGCCCCTTCTAGTTCCAGGGAACATGTAAAGGTGTACACACATTTGTTAGAGTGATTCTTGTAAATAAGCATGTATCTTCATTTGCTTCTGTGATGGAAAAAAAATGTCAAATTTATAGTGCATAATGGACTTCACAGCAGTCATTTGTATTTTTTGTTAAACTACAGACTCTTTTATATAATGCCAAAGAACATTCAAAACACATTATTGAATATATTCCTGTAAATGAAAACGTACCTGCCAACGTTATTGACCAAGTAACAAGTACAGCCACAGCAAAAGTGCATGTTTTGGTTTCATCAAATATGCATCCAGTGTGTCTACATAGATTCAAAAGTTTCTGTTTAGAACGTGGTGTATGTTGCTATCTATGAATCTGTGCATTTTCTTGGAGGAAGAGATGAAAATGTTGCTTGCAGGAGGATTTTAACACTGAAATCAATTTGAGCTAAAAGCATTTATACAAAAAAATGGACTCAGGAACATAGAAAAAATTTCCTCTTACTGCTGTTGAATATATATGTCAAATCATAGTTTACTAGTCAACCCTCTAGCATCTCCCTATGCTTTGTCTTGGGGTAAAGTCATAGTTGCTTTTATAACACAGAAATGATTCTGATGTCACGATGTGAGCATTAAAACTTTACTGTAGAAAACATGAGATGTGAAGTACCAAGTCCTTTTCTGTAAAATATGCTTGGTTCTAATTATCAACCCTAAGATTAATAGCAGCCAAATGAGTCACCCAGTACCATTCTGTTGGCCCAATAAAAATATCAACTCACAAAAATTCTTACCTCTTCTCATTTCCTGGACCATCATGGCTACATGATCACTTCAATATATTTCTGTTAAGTAGCCATTCCTTTCAATGACTAATATTTTGGAGGACAAAATTGTTTGTTACCCAAACCATCCCTCCTGGCAGTTAAAATACATGTGTGCATATTGTTCATGCTCAAGACTATCCTAAACAGTCACCAGAAGAAAACAGGAAGATGACAAGACTCAACTTTCTTAATTATTCCTAAGCAAAGGGATGGGGAAAAGGCCCTGAACCTCTTAGCTCCTCTTTCTACTCAGTACTGAAGCAAAAAAAGAGGGTACAAATATATGATTTTTTTTTAAGCAGTCCTTTATTGATCACTTAAATCCCAAGCAGGACTTCTGCACTCTCAAAATGTAAGGAATCCTTTCCTCTATGAATGGTCTTTTCTAAAGGTAAACAGGCATTGCTGTTCTTCTATTGACAAAATTGATTTTCTCCTCCAGTAATTCATAATCAAAAAGAAAGATCTTACCTAAGGAATGAGTTCTCCTCAAATACACAAGTTATCAGGACAGGGTGGCCCTGCTCTCTTAAGTCTGCAGGCAGACAGATGGAAAGAATACCAAGCAAACAGTAACAAATACTCACATGAACTGCTCCATTCATCTCAGCAGGGTTTTAACTTAGAATACTAATGAAGATTTACAGGTCAGCATTGTTGATTATTTCAGTGCTGATTCATTTAGCAGAAACATCCAGCTGTCCTGCAGTTGCAAGTAGAATTAAACACATGCTTCCCCTCCCAATTTTGATCGTTGATAGATCCTCCCATATTCCTTCTCTATAATAAAACCTCAGTTTCTTGTTCTTAAAATCAAAACGTTGAGAAATAAACTCTTCAGGCCAGAATGTCCAAGCTGATCGTAATAGATTGAGAAAAGAAGGGTTGAATCCAAGAGGGCTGATGAGGAAAGAGATTTTCTGGTGCCAACCTAATTTCTGGAAGAGACTCATGTTGGAGCTAAAATGATCAGCAGTAAAATATGTATAATAATACCGACACTTCAAAATTAAATCTACACCCTGCAACACTCCACACAGTCACCATACACAAGCCCAGGCAGACGAAGGACTTGCATTTCTAATTACCCTATTACCAAAGTTTGTTTGCATACATTTACAGTTGAAAGTTTTAAGCTACAGATAACAGGATGGATGTCTTGGACAGGGTACATCAGCTGTACTCTGCAGTGGAAACTTGGCCTGAACTATTCCTACTATTGATTCAAAATCTCTAGTCCTAAGCATTCAACATTCAAGATGGGCCTGGGACACAAGTTCAACTCTGAATCTGAACATCTCCTTTTGATCTTAGGGGCAGAGTTGGGCCCACCTGGTATTCTACACACTATCTTTTTTTGTTAACCAGAGTCTTGGAAAACAGCATAAACTGTAGGGTATTATTTTTTCATTGTATATTAGAAAATAACATTTACATAAAACACAGTTTCCTGTAAATGAAAACCTACCTGCCAAAGTTGTTATTGACCAAGTAACAAGTACAGCAAAAGTGCATGTTTTGGTTTCATCAAATATGCATCCAGTGTGTCTAGTTAGATTCAAAAGTTAGATCCTGTAGATGTGCCCAGTGATTCCTGCAACGAGCCCAGAACTTAGTGAGCTAGAGCACACCTTCTGGAAAAACCAACCCATCTTAAAAACTAAAGAAACTCCTTCTGTTTAATTTATCCAATAGAAGGCTATGAGGCAACTTGATCAGCCTACAGGTATGTATATAGCGAGGAGATTTAAAATAGTACAGAGATCCTGAATGGGCAGACAAAAGCATAATAACATAAGATCCAGTGGTTGGAAGCTGAAATTATACAAATTAGACTAGAAATAATAAGGTGCATGTTTTAACAGCCAGCATAATTAACCATTGGAATAACTAATTAATTGCTTAGTCTTCAAATCAGTGCTACATACCTTTCTAAAGGTTTATGTTCCCGTTTAAATAAATTGAGGCCTCTATACAGGAATTACTGGCTCAAATTCTATGTTATGCAGAAGATGGATAATTATAGTAGTCCCTTGTGGCTTAAAGATGTATTAACCTATGGAAAGCCATTGGATTATTTAAAGATTTAAATTTACACACATCCATGGAAAAGCATTTAGTTACCATGTTACAAATACATTCATACTACTCCAAAAATTGAAATGGGTACTAAAATGATAAGCATACTAGGAGTTTTCTTACAAATAGAATTTTATTGACAAAGTAATACAAGTGTAGTTTGCAAACAGTGCGAAGGTAGTGTTCAAATTACAATTTTTTTTTCTATGCACATTCACTGCTGTTAATATTTTTATGGATTCTGTTGTCCTGCTTCTTGCTACACAGAACCTCCCAGACACTTATTTGTCTGTGTTTCAGAAAAATATTTTCTCCAAATTTATGTATATAATAAAATGTAGGGGTGTGCGAAGCGGACAGTATTTGATTTGGATTCAGATTTGGCCTGATTCAGGGGACAGTGATTCGATTCACTAATTGGGATCACTATCCCGATTCGATTCAGCCAAATCTGAATCTGAAGATTCAGTTCTGATTCAGAGAATCAGCGATTCAGCCATAGACAGCTCTATGCCTTTTCTACATACCTTGAGGTACCAGGCACAGCTTGTGAATGCTGAGATGGTGTGGCAGATGGAGCATCCCACAGGAGCGCAGGGAGGTACCCTGCGCGCTTGGCAGCGGACCCAGAAGTGGACCGGAAGTACTTCCAGTCCGCTTCCAGGTCTGCTGCCGAGCGCACGGGCGGGGGGCCCAGACCCTCTTCCGGCTCAGCAATCGGCCATGGGAGAACCCCCAGTGGCCCCCCCAAACCCAGGAGGCACCCAGTTGCTGAGCCAGGGGGCAGGGGTTCCCCCACACACTCCGTGGTAGACCTAGAAGTGGACCAGAAGTACTTCTGGTTCACTTCTGGGTCTGCCGCCAAGCACACACAGAACCCCCCGCGCTCCTGTGGGACGCTCCATCCGCCCCACCATCTCAACGTTCACGAGCTGCACCTGGTACCTTGAGGTACATAGAAAAAACATATAAGGCTGTGTCTGTGGCCGAATCATCGAATCTCTCTGGATCTCTCTAAATTCAATCAGAGTCTTCTGATTCAGAGAGGTTAATGGGTTTCCCGATTCAATTCGGATTCAAAGATTTGGCCGCCGAATTGGGCTGAATTTCCTCCAAATCGAATCAGCGACCGAAGCGTCACACAACCCTAATAGCCCATTGATTTCAGTTTTCAATCTATTTCAAGATTTATTGACTGTAGAGACTGACCTCATTTGTTAATAAATCTTGATTATAATTCTAGAAACTCAGTATCTACTTTCTGTTTGAACTTTACTAAATTTTAAATTAAAAGTATTCTGTCCCTACAAAAAGAAAAAAAGCCATGTTGCTTATAGAATAGCAGCGTGTCTAGAGACTAGAGCGAGGGGTCTGAGAGTCGCACTCTATCCCATTTCAACAGTGATTCACTGGATGACTTTGAGCAAGTGAGGTAAAATTTGAATCAAGACATACACAATTAATATAAGCAAAAATCAAGTAATAAAATGAAAATCAAACTGTTCTGTAACAGAATCTTTAAATACATGTAATGAGAAGTAAATAATTGTAGTACAAATACAGGGGGGGGAAATTACTACTAGAGTTTGAAGTAGAGCTAAGAAGAAACTCGTCTTTGAAAAATAATTTAAAATTTTGACCACACAGTTCAGAGACTAAGGCCAGGAGGATACTTGTGATCATCTGTACTGGTTTTCTGTACAACCCAAGCCCAACAAAAATTGGAAAAAACCAACATTAGGACTGAAACTGCTTCAACTGTAGACAAAGGCTTAACCACCGTCGTACTTTAAGTTATATGTGGCTCTGCCAGCAGTTTTTTTGCCATCAGAATTACCCCAGTTCAAACAGCAGAAGCTTTGCAAGATGAAGCTTTTTGTCAAGAGCTGCACCAACACCAGAGAAGTTGGCCAAGTGAGCTCTGTTGGCCACAGCATATGAACTTTCCACACCATGAATTGATATGGGTATGCTGGCAGAGCTTTTTAATGAAGATGAAGTCTCCTTTGCTTTTTCTCTGGATGTAACCGCTCAGCATGAGTTTAAAGACCGTTGTCACAAATAGCGAAGTTGTAGATACCCTGGGAACTCCAAGTGTTGCCATGTTACAACCTGAGCTAAGGTCATGGTCAGTCCTTCCCAAAATAAAATTGAGAAGGCCCAGGAAGCTCTGCAAGGTTCATCATGTGGGGCAGCCAAAGAAACTTGGGAGGCCAAAAATCCCTCCCTTATGGGATCCACATGCTAGGGGTGTGCTGACCCCTCTCCTGGACTGCCCAAACTCCCTCCTTTCCCTGGAAATACAGCCGCCACTAACTGTCCTTACCATGCCTACAGTTTTTCCCTCTGAGCCTGGTACAGGCTTTAGGAATAACTTAATGCAACATTAATTTCAGCAAAACGTAAATATGCAGTGACTGACAGAAATACACAATGACTGCTCCCCCACAATCTGCCTGGAGTGCTGTCTTCTGGCACATGGGATTCTTTGATAAAAGAGTCAGCACATCATGTGGATTTTGCTAGCTGGTGCTCGTCCTTTCACCCCAACCCCAGGCAGTTTTTGAGGCTTCTGCTGTGCGTTTTACTTTTATTTTGTTCCTTTCAATGCTCTACTGCAAAAGCGAGCATAAAACTCTTAATGAGGAAGAAAGCCAATCCCTAAGGATATACCAAGGATAGCTCAACAGAAACTAAATTTAAACATAGTATCACTTGAAAATAACAATTATATTTAACACTGTATTTTATAAGTAAATACCATTAAGCTCCTGTCTTTAAGGTAAGCCCCGGACTTGTACAAACAATCATATTAGCAGATTTTGCATTACCTTTTCATTTTTGTAAATGGACGTAATCTCTTTTGAAGCTGTACTCTGGGTCCTAATGAAGAGTACTAATGTTTCCTTGGCTTCTCTTCTGTGTAGCTGGAGTGCCAAGCTGTACCTGACCCCAAGTAACATTGTGCTGTTAACAGCTATAGCCCTAATTGGAGTTTGTGTTTTCATCTTGGCAATAATTGGCATATTGCACTGGCAAGAGAAGGTAAGCTTAATTAAATGGAAATGAGTTTCTGTATATTTTCACACTACAAATTCTGTATTGCATTAAGATATGCTCTCGTATTGTTTTGAATAATGGCTTTCAGTTTGAAAATATACTTTAAAATAAAATAATCTCAATATTTTTCACATTTCTGACAGGTATCAGGCTTTATTAATACACACAAAAGAAGGGTAATTTTAGGTTTTATTGAAAGCTTAAAAAACAAGCATCTAGTTATGTAGGTTTGATATCTGAAACATTTAAGGGGAAAATAAAAAATAATATACACAATTTTTGGTATTTTGGCATATGCCGTTATTCATAACTAAATGGGAGACTTTCCGTTTTTAAGATGACTACTTTCAACATCTTTTACTCTCATCAACTGATCAGAGTTGCAAGTAGAGGCTGTTTTTGAAAATAAATGTAAATTCAACTTACTTTGCTTCTATTCCGATGGTGGTTCAGAAAGAAGAAAAACATTCATTTTTGTTCTATACCCTTACTAGTTGTAGGGCTGTTAATGTGGGGGACTCTTCCATGGAATGCTGGCTGCTTTGCTCCGCATGTCTGAATCGCATGTGGACTGTATATACATTCATTGATTTGAAGAAGCATTTTAAGAGGGTTCTTTCATGTCACAAAAGAAAAGCATTCCCACTTTTCTTAACAACTCTCAGTTCACAATAATATCCAACTGGCAGGATAGCCAATAAATGCTACTACCTCGCCAAGCCATAATCATAGCTGTCAAATAACGTGACTGCATTTTTGACTTGGTATGTAGGCCTGTTGTTTGTGTTTGTGAAACAAACAGGCCCGATTAAACATCCAGCCAAGTTGTGCATGGATTTCATACTGAAAAATTATTTCACAGTGCCATCATTGACTTCTACAAAATGTTAACACAGAGCCCATATGCAAGTAGTGATGTGGTTGGGATGCCAATTGACAGAGCAAGGAAATAGAGAATTCATGATGATTCCACTCTTATATCCTTCCCTATTGTGCTCAGACAGTACAGCATGAATGACAAAGGAACTATGCTGTGACTAACTCCCAGCTTTTTCTCCATTATTTTTTACTGCAGCATGCCTGTAAAGGCAGTAAATACAGAAGCACAGACAGGACATAAACCTGGAAAAGTAGGGATAATATTAGTAGGTTGGGGGAAGCAATTTAAAAGTTTGATTGCAGAAGTGCAAAATGTTCAAGTATTCCTTACAAACATTACTATAGTGATTCGTAACTAGGATGCCATGGCACCCTTGGGTGTCTTGAGATCCTTTCAAGGGTGCCACAGGTTGCCACACAATGTTAGCACTGCTAGGTGTACAAACTTGATTCACAAGCTAAATCCTTAGCGCGCCTATATATGAGCAGAGAGCCTGCTCCAACACACTGTAATTACAGCACGTTGGAGCAGACTCGATTTAATCAAGTCTGCTGGAGCATGGTAATTAGCACACTCCAATGAACTCCAGTGCCTTGTGTATCAGGGTCCCTGCGCATAAAAATAGTGGTGGGGGCACTTCAACTAAAGCTCGTTGAACAAGCTTTAAAGCAATCCTGCCACCATTTTTAAGCATAGGGACGCTGATACATGAGCTGTTCCAGGTGCCTTAAATAGAGCAGTTCTGAGCTGCTCTGATTACAGTGCTCCACCCCGCTCCCTCCTAGCACATGTATAATAGGGCTGTGTGACGCTTCGGGTGCTGATTTGATTTTGAGGAGATTCGGCCTGATTCAGTGGCCAAATCTCCGAATCCAGATCGAATCAGGAGACCAATTAAAAGGTCCGAATCGATTCAAAGCTCTCCAAATCGATTCGGGCAGCCCCCCGCTCACTGCAGCAGGGATCTGGACCTGGACTCCGTGCTGGTAAATAGGGGGTGAGAGGAGGGGACCATGGGGGGACCCCTGCCAGGCCCCATCCCCTGCCTGTTCCCCCAATCCCCGCCCGCTGCCCCACCTGGTCCCAGCTCCTGACCCTTTAAAAAAAAAACAAAACCCAGGCTCACCAGCTGCTGCAACAGCCTCGGGGCTTCTGGGGGCTCGTGGCAGAGCCCCCCATGCAGCACAGGGCAATGGGGGGCAGTGGGGATCACCCCCCACCTGGCAGCAGCTAGTGACTTGGGGCTGTTTTGGTTTTTTTTACAGGGCCCGGAGCTGGGGTGGACGGGGCAGCCATGGTGGGGAGGGCTGGGAGACTGGGCAGGGGTCAAAGGGCTCATGGCAGAGCCCCCCACGCAGCGTGGGGTAATGGGGATTGCCCCCCAGCGTGGCAGCAGCCAATGAGTGGGAGCTCTTTTTTTCAAAGAGCCGGGAGCTGAGAGAGTTGGCAGGACAGCCACTGAGAGCGGGTGGGGGATGGGGCCGATTTGGCTGCAGCCAAATCTCCAAATCAGATTCAGCCAAATTGATTCGGGACAGCGATTGGAATCACCAAATCCAATCACTGTCTCCTGAATCAGCCAAATCCGAAGTGAATACTAGCTGCTTCGCACAGACCTAATGTATAAAAACTCAGAGTTTGCAAATATGGGACTCCATAGTGTTGAAAACATGCCGCCCTGTTGTAGTCTTTCTGAGTTTTTTGCAGTAGTAGTATTGCTCTAGTATTTTTCTGTTGTCAAAAAAAAAAAAGAGTGAAAACTAAGAGTAGGCATTTTCCAAGGGGGCCCTCCCTTGGGTCTAAAAGAGTTACGAACCCCTGCACTAGTAGCTTCTGAGCTGCTGCTGAATCCACGCATTGTGGTGTCTTTTCCCATCTGTGCTTCCATATTTACTGCCTTTACAGGTATGCTGCAGCGACCATCTTCTTCCCCTTCCATAGGAATGGAGTGGGCTGGTGGTTACAAATGTTGTATCTTCTTCAAATATTATATCTTTTGGAGGATATTTACTCAATTTGGATAAAATAGTCATCATCCCCCTCTCTCCTCCCCTCCACCTCCCCAGTAATTTTTCAGGGTTGTATAGTGCATTTTATTTAAGTGATGGGCACCCAGTACATATGCTCTTAGCTTAAATAAATGCAAGTGAGACAGGATCAGTTATATTTTTAGCACTGAATTCTGATCTTAGACATCTTACATCTCTCTAAATTGGCAATAATGTGTTAATAAAGAGTTACTGATGTTACCTAGTATTTTACATTTGTGAAGCCCTGTAAAAAGTTAAGCCTCAGAATTAATTAAACCTCAGAAGACTTTGATGAGATACTGTAGGTCAGTATTTACTATCCCAGTTCCTCAGAAGAGGGCACAAAGAATGCCTTGAGCAAAGCCATACATTATATCAATGGCAAGGCTGGGGTTAAAATGCAAGAAACTTTGATTCCTGAACTTTCCTTAGGTCACTAGACTGTTCTGTCACTGCTACCAGACTCCTGGCCAATATATTGCTCTGCCTGGATGCTGCTATTTATCTCTCTCCTATATATAGATATCCAGGATACTCACACCCAGAGTGTTGAAAACAGAGGGTCTATATACAGTTATTCATACATCCCCTTCGGGGGGAAAACAGCATTGTGGTTCCTTATTTCACACACTAGCTGGAATAAGTCCTTCATGCCTCCACTGATATAGACAAAGAGCTGCCTCTGACTACACCATAGTTCTTATACATGGCCATCAGCCATCAAACTCTGTTATCTAAATAATAAATCTAGAAGTCAGGGATAATGTGGTGCTCTGTCACATTTTGGGGGATATCTGGATCCATAAACCAATGACCAGTTCCAATGTGTCACTTATGGATATTTTTACCTTTGACACATCATGCGAAGGATTAACTGAAAAATGCTGAGCAATAATCAATAGAAGGTGTAAATCTTAAGAGCCATAAACTCTGGTAGGTCGAGCAAGGACACTGGAATTCCTAGTTCTAATCCTCCCTTTGTCCTGCTCTGGGGCCTTTGGGCAAATTCCCACATCTGTGTGCTGATATGAGATAAGGAGGTTGTGATGGCTAATCAGTTAACTTTTAAAGTGCTACTCTAAGTAATCAGTTAATTAACTATTCTAATTAAATAATGTAATATAGAAATACATAAAAATAACATAACCTTTTCAAAATGCATACAGTTGAATGAAAATGGCTTCTTATGTGAAGGCCTTAGTGTTTTATAGATGTGACATGTATTTCTGAGTAGGAAAAAGGATGTCACACTACCCCTTTTTTTTTTTGTTTGACTGAGTTGCAACCTTGGCAGGGTATGTCCGTGCCACAAAGCCAGACTGAGATATGCTGTTAACTTCACAGAGAGCTGTGTTGCTGTCAGAGAATATTGAAAGTCTGACAGCCAAATCCAGTGGAACACAATTAACCCAATAGGGAGTCCTATTGTACACTGATGATGCTTGTGACAAGGAAATCTCTGAAATGGAGCCAGCACATGTGACAACATGGTTCCCACAAGCCAGCTTCCATTAGAAAAATGAAGTCCATATATGTATGTCTAGTAAAATTGTCACAAGTTAACCAGCTTACGCACAAATGTAGATGCCCATCCAACAGCATGAGGATAAAAAAACACTAACAAGATTGTACTTGCTCATCAAAAATATTACTCAGTGCAAGCAAGCAAGCATGAATGAATACATTTTGCAAGTCAGGCAGATGACCAGCTTATGCATATATTAGAAATGACATTAAACTCTTTGTATAGGCAAACATACCTTGTCACACATAAAGTTAATCTTGGTTTCTGATATAAAGTTCTGGCTATATCTAGTAAATCTTGAAAAGAAATATATAGGAAAACTGTTCAGGATTGGAAAGAGACCAAGGCATATAGAAGATAACCACATGTAACTAGTGGCCATGCAGGTATAGATGAACTGAATATTTTCCTTATTTGTCCAAGTAACCACAAGCCCATAAAAATGTCCTTTTGAGGTGAGTGAGAGGAAGAACCAAACAGGCAGAAAGTCACAACCTTCACATTTTCATCTTTGTTTCTACTAATCCACAAAATGTAACTCTGTTTCTCAGCCCTGGTTTTTAACACTGTTGATTATTGTAGCAACCTTATCATTGCTTTTGACAACTTTCTCTTAATTTTGTTTTAATAAACAGAATTTTTAAGGGATAATCTAGTTTTAAAAGGACAGTAGAGGTGGGGCCATTTATATTTGATTCAGAACCAGTTCACCTTATCATATTTACAGTACAGAATAAATGTGCACTAGGAAGCATTTTTGGTTTAACTACTTAAGCAATAGTCCTTTGAAAACCATTTACTTAAGACAATCAGAAGTATTGAGTCATTAATAATAAAACAACTGATTATTACCTACAGCAGTCAATTAAGAGAAGATTATTGGTATTCTAAATTGACACCTATTACATACTAATTATTGAGGCTTTTATTAAACCTCAGTAATCTGGCAAATGAATGACAAATGAATACCAGTGTTAAAAAATCAGACTCCCTGACATTTGACAAATTTTCTAACTGTCAGAATGCTGGGTAGGTTTTTGGTCTTTTATCTTATCAACTGTTATTAATCTTTATTTTCAGAAAGCAGATGACAGAGAGAAACGTCAGGAAGCCCATCGGTTCCATTTTGATGCTATGTGACATGCCTCCGTAGCAATGAAAAAGCTGCTATTCATTCGCTTAATCAAACTACTAAATTCTGGCTTGTTAAAAGAAGATGAGGGATTGAGGGATTGTGCGCTGGTTGTAAATGTTGCATTATTTGATATTTATTTGGAAAGCATTAAAATCAGACTTGAATGTTTCACATGGCCCTTTGGTAAACAGTTTGTATATATTAACAGTTGTTCTTTATTTAACAAAACTGTAAATTTATTTTTCTTAGTAAGGGATCATATAGCATGTATTCCAGCGTTTACATACTGCCACTTCTTCCAGTACAACATTTGATGGAAAGGGAGTCATGTGTAAATAAATTTTAGTATCTCAATGAGCAAAATTCTTTAGTGCCACTTGAATTGGTTTTGCCATTTATACCTTCCCACAATGTAAATTACATTTCTTTGTAAATGAATCTTAAGCAGATTGTCTGATGACACGTTCTGCATTAGTTATTATGACTATATTCCAGAGGTGTTTGATCGAAAGTGTTTGGTATTTTTTCCTTTGTTTTAATCCTTGTATGGAACAGTAACATGAAAATTCATATATCGGAAGATTAAAACAACTCTGCAAAGGCAGTCTCACCAAATAACTAATTATTAGGTGTCTGCACTTAACATGTATTAATTCTGTGTATGAAAAATTAAGCAAATTAAAAGTTTAGATAAAAACGTATCATAACCAGGAATGTGCGTTTTTAAGAGCTACTTCCTAAAAAAGATCTGATCAACTTTTTGCCTGGTTATTTATACTCATCATGGGACTGTATTTAAATTTAATTATGAAAACGAGTAACCAACAAAACCATGAGTGGAGTTTGGTTTCTTTCTGGAGGGGAGAGTGGGGGTGAAAGGAAAACTTTTTGTAAAAACTGAGATCAAATCCTATATCTTGCCCGTTTTCATACGAAAGACTATTCATAATTAAGGGATGAAGTACCTTGTGATTCATATTATGTAAATGACTTACAAAGTCGCCTTATTTCACTGTCCCCAAATTCCTTAAGATTATGATGATTATGTCTCCAGAGAAGCTCAATTTTGTATTTAAAATGTTGATAATCTTTCACCTAATCACCCACAATATTACAGCAATTGTAATACACACATTCTCTGAAAAGAATCATGCTTTTCTTTTATATATTACAGTTGTTCCTTTATTTTAAGAATGATTTGCACTTACATGACTTATTGTGTATTTAAAAATGTTAATGTGCATTCCAAATAAATGTTATTTATTAAATCAAAGCACATCTGTTGCTCAGATTTTATTGCTGGTGCTGTCTTTGTCAGAGCGTTGTTTATCTGCATCTTGGTCTGGCTTCTGCCTCACAACTTGTTTGGGTCACCTATTTAAACTTCTGATACTCCTATCACCCATTAACATTGAGTTGTTAATACAGGAACAGAAGAAGAAAGCAGAAACGAAGATAAACTGCTTTTACCCGTAATTAGAACTGTATTATTCTGTCACACTTCGCACTTAACAATGAGCTGTTCATATAGCAGCAGCAAGAGAAGGGGAACCATCAGTGAAACAGCGCTGCCAAGCTTAGGAATTTTCACTACTACCAGCAACTTGTATACAGAGCAATTACACATAGCTCACAGATACTGATCAGGCCCTGAAAAGGTAAACTTTGTGTTACCCCTGTGCCTCTGGCGTTAACACACCCACGATATTTCTCTTAATTCAGCAAAGCATCAACAGTGGACCTTCCAAGGAAACTTTAACCTTTTGCATGAGTCCCTTTATAGCCCTACTATGCTTTTATTTCTACAACTGGAGAAACAGCCATGCAGCAAAGTTACAGGTTCTGATAAGGATTTACTCATCCAGCAGGATGTTCAGTGATAGAAACACAGAACTAAAAGGGCTTCATGAATCATGAGACGTCGAATCTACTCCCCAAGGTTCACAGCCAGTCATTTACCCAAAGATTCCTAAAAACTGACCACTCCAAACTACAAGGCACAAAGCAAAAACACCAGGAACATGGTGCAAAACACAGGTAAAAAGCAGAAATAGCAGTGCCAGTGACCTTCAGTGCAATAACAGAGGAGTAATCGGTTACTGTGGGCATGCCTACACGTTCATTAATATGTGGTGGTTACTGTGCATTTAATTTAGTACTTGTATAACCAAGTACTAAGTAAATGCGCAGTAACTGAAGTTACTACACAGTAGTGCCCCCAAACACCTTTTTAGTGACACTACCGTGCAATATTTAGCATAACAATACTGCACAGTAGCGTATAAGCACTGTTTGTGCTGTTAGGCACTCCTGTGCTGTATTATTAGGCTACTGTGCAGTTAGCATCTCGTGTAGACACAGCCTGTATGTTCCAAAACCACACCCCATACTAGACAGGAAGGACCTACAGTCCCTGCCAAGAGGTCCTTGAAAGATCGATTATGACACTAGAAGGGGAGGGAGGTGCTAGGGGTTAGAAGAATTTATTCCCCATTAAAGCTACAAGCCAGCCCAGGTTTGCCACTATAGCACCTAATGAAAAATGTATTACCTCATGTTTCTGCCAAAATTATTAGTATTTAAATAAATTCTTTCTGACACTTAAATTGCCATCACTGGGCTTCTGAACTACCATCCCAATAAATACAACTTGCAAATCCCTTGCCTCTTGTTGCTTTTGTTTCAGGATATTTTGAATGCTAAACAGTACAAAATTGCTTTGTTTAAGGTTTTCTTTGAAACCGCAAGAAGAAACTTTTTTTAAAATAAAGATTAAAGTCTGCAATAAGTTCTGCTGTCACCACATATAGAAGTGTACTTATAATTATGATGCATAATACATTGTCAATACTGCCTACAAACATTATACGCTTCTATTGTTAAAATTGCAGTAAGTGTGGTTTAGTTCTGTACTTGGACTTTCCATGCTGCAGGTGTCAAAAATAATTTTCAGCAAGCTTGCCACCAGTAACAGCATGCTCAAGGCTGCAACTGTAATTAGAAAGTGTGTTTCCAAGTGCTCTTCACAGTAATTGGGTGGTGAGAAGTTATTCTAGCTATATAAACTTTCAGAACACATCCACAATACGCAGCCGTGGTGAATAATGCTATTGGGACACTTCTTCAGTGTGAAATCTCACCTATGCAGAAATCTTGTCAACAAGACAAATGGCAGATGGTTGAAATATCAGTCATCATTGTTCTCATCTCCTATGAGACAAATCTTCAAATCCCAATCCTCCTCCCGGATTTGTCACTAATGCACCAATAATCCTGAATCGAAAGCTGAAAAGTTAAGTTACCTCCCCCAGATCAATAGACTGTATACTATGCAGTGTGTATCCTCTCTGCACAAGTCATTTTTCCTTACAAAACAGTTGCAAATTTGCTACAATTAGGGTGTGGCTACAGATGATGCTACGTTGCTGTAGTGACACACTATGGCCATGTAGCATCCACAGATGTCTACATGTGACCAGCAGCTACATCACTGAAGTGGCGCGCTTCCCCAATATAGCACACTGCTTCAGCAAAGTAGCTGCTAAAAATAACCATGCGCCATGCGTACAGCACAGCATGGGCAGTTACTGCACCGTGCTTTAGTACTAAAGTACGGTGCAGTGACAACATCGCCATAGGGCAACTTGCAGACGCGCCTTTCCGGGCCAAGCACCTATTACAATCCACTGAACAATTCAGGACTTCAATTCTCCTTCACCATAAATGGTAGCTAGATGTATCTAAGGATTAAACTGTAAGAGGTTCCCCTGTATTTGTCTACGATAATCACAGTCTAAATTTGAGGTGGAATATGTAGATACCATGCTAGCTACAATGTCTGAGGTTCAAATAATAAAATGAATATTGGAAATCCAGGAAATAAAAATAAACTTAAAAAAAAATTAGACAGGAATGTAAAATGTTACAGTTTTTTCACCCAAACAACTGTAAGTCTATGCCCTAAGCAAAATCAGCCCCCATTTTCCCTATTGGGCGTGTTTATTTTTAGACTGAAGATTTCTAAGCAGGTTTTAAAGAAGCCTCTAGCTACAGATATCTAAAGCCAAGAAATGCTGCTGTATTGGCTCATTGACTATATCAATGGTGTCCTCAATTATTTACTACATTTTTTTTTCATTAGGGCAATTTATTTGGAGACAGTGCTGTACTTTATATCATTTGCAGGTGTCATTTTGCAAATATTAATCACAAATTCAGGTTTTGTGCCTGAATTCATAAATATGCTAAACATGATGCAACACAGCATATGATATTATCTACATTAACAATCCTTGTTCCTACATTTAAATTTCATGAACTGGACCTAGGAGACTTTTAGATATGTTCTGCCTTGTGTCTAATGCACACATGTAATCACTAATTCACAAAAATCTTAGAGAAGGAAATGGTTTTCAGAATCAGAAAAGGTTGCATCTTTCTGTGAACTGCATTCAGCCACAAAGAAGGATCAGCTTGGCTCAACCAACATACAGCCCAGGAAGGGAATGGATTCTTGATTAAATAAACCTGCTAAAGCCTCAGTATTTGCTTGTTTAGAGGAACAACCAAGACTACATGTACTTGAAGTATTAACCTTGGAATGTAACTCTGTAATGAATAACTGAAAATGTGAACACATATTATGATAACACTTGGATAGACAGTGGGTAACTCATTGCTGTGGTCTTACTTGTCAGTGCGCTGATTCTCTGCCAGAGAACCATTGATTTGTATACAAAATATTGTGGCTAACTCATCATCTGTTAGTGTAACTCCTCCTTTCCAAATGTACGCTCCTAAATGGCAATTAAATTTGCTTTGGATAAGCAGTCAGCTTAAAAGGTGTCTTCCCTAGCACCTCTGAAACTTACTGATACTTGCAAAGCATTGGATGCTCTTCAGCTTTCCTTTGCACAACAAGGCATAGAGAGTAGGGCTGTATGAAGCTTCAGTCGCTGATTCGATTCAGCAGAGATTCGGCCCATTTTGGTGGCCAAATCTCCAAATCCGAATCAAATCAGGAGACCCTTTAATCTGTCTGAATTGAATCGGAACACTACAAATCAATTCAGATAGATTCGGAAAGATTCGACGATTTGGACATAGACACAGCTTTAGATGTTTTTTCTACATACCTCAAGGTACCAGGTGACTCATGAATGCTGGGGCGGATGGAGCATCCTACAGGAGTGTAGGGGCTCCCCAGCATGCTTGGCAGCAGATCCAGAAGTGGACTAGAAGCACTTCTGGTCCACTTCCAGGTCCAGTGGGGAGCGTGCCCCGTGACTCAGCAACTGGTGCCTCCTGGGCCTGGGGGGGGCCCCCAAAGGTCCCCCCATGGCTGATTGCTGAGCTAGGGAATGCAGGGGGGGTCCCTGCGTGCTCTGGGTCCACCACTGAGCATGTGGGGGGCTCACCCCACGCTCCTGTGGGGCGCTCCATCTGCCCCAGCATCACAGCATTCACGAGCCATGCCAGCTACCTCAAGGTATGTCGAAAAAACATTTAAAGCTGTGTCTATGGCCAAATTGCTGATTCCCTGAATCAGCATCGAATCTTCAGATTCGGATTCGGCTGAATTGAATCGGGACAGTGATCCGAATCAACAAATTGAATCACTGTCCTCTATTCAGGCTGAATCTGAATCGAATGTGGCCCGTTTCGACACCCCTAATAGGCAGTCAACAGTTCCACTGTGCAGGATGATCTATTTTGGCGATTAGGGCAGCTAATGTTTACAAAGCAAACATTTCTGACCTTTTTTACATCATCATCATTGTGTAATGCATTTATATGTATAATCTTACAATTCTCACATAAGCCAGGGTGTGTGTAATTTGCATTTGGGATCATAGGAATTGTCTTCATTATAAATATAACGTATTGTGTCTCAATATGGCATGCAAAATGCATCTCATGACAAGTTGAAAATGGATAACTATTGATAATTAGTCTCTCATGAATAATTAGTCATCATTACCAACTCCCTTGGAATAATCAATTAACCAAATGTAACTGTTTTCCAAACAGGAAAAAAAACAAAACCTGTTCTACATCTTTAAGCAAAATTCCCAACTTCTTCCATGATGGCACTCTATAAAACCTATACACATGTATTTGTACTTTCCCATCTTTAAAGCAATTTCCACATAATCTCAAGGCCAAAAAATGGTCCACTGGCCAAAGGCCATTCTTTCATTCCAGCCCATCAATTACTCCAGATGCCTTTGACATTATTTCAAAAAAATAATGCAACAAAATAAAAGCTGCAGCCCCCTCGCTACCACTAGCACATTTGCAAGTGTGATTTGTAGTGGTGAGTTCAGGGCAGGGAAAGGCAAATCAGTTTTAATAATGGAAAGAAAGACAGCCTGCTGCAGCTGTTCAATTACAGCTGCGCGTGTAAGCACACGTGTAAGTATTTAACTTCACAAAAAATCAGTGTTCCCACTGGCTTCAATAATATTATTCACATGCAAACATCTAAATACATGCCTAAATATCTAAATTTCATATGGCCCTTCATCCAAGGAAAAGTATTTCAACAATTGTAATGACTATAAAGTTTATTGGTCCTTAGTAACTTCCAATCCAAGTTAGTATAATTTAAATCACTCGAGGGCATCCGTCACTGCAGTGCAAAAGCAAAGTTGTGCTGAGTGGGCATTAGGAGATTCCACTCCTAGCTTAAGCTACCGCTGCTTAGTACATAAGATGTCACTGCTTGTTAGTTTTAGCATATTTTTCTTATCTTTGGTAGTTTTAGGACAAGTACCTGTATTTTTAATGCAACCCAAGTCTCTGATCCGAGAGGACCACATCACAATAAGGCTAACCAGGACCTAGTTACACAATAGGTGCCCAAGTCACAAAGCAAGATGCAAATCGAGGTCACTGTTTTAAATGCCCAGATTCTTTAGGCCTAACTGTTGCCTAAACTCTGCTGAGATCCAGCTTAGTCCTGGCAGGCACCTGAAGTCCACCCAGGTCCCAGCTTTCCTAGATGCAGTCAGAGCAACTGTGTGACGCACACTGCACGTGGAGGAGAATCTTTGCTGCTGCTCTGTGTATTTTTTCACCGATGACTGACGAGTGCAAAATGCTGATAGATGTTGATAGACTTGAGAGGGTCCAGAGGAGGTCACTCGTATGGTTAAGGGCTTACTGGACAAGCCCTATGAGGAGAGACTGAGGGACCTGGACCTCTTCAGCCTCCGCAAAAGAAGGCTGAGAGGCGATCTTGTGGCTGCCGACAAATTCATTAGGGAGGGCGCAGCAAGGGATCGGAGATGCTCTGTTCACCAGGGCGCCTCTCCGGGTAACAAGGTCACAAACTGACAGAGAGCAGATTTAGGCTGGATATCAGGAAAAACTTCACAGTAAGAGTGGCCAAAATTTGGAAAGGCCTTGCAAGGGAGGTGGTGCTGTCCCCTATCCTGGGGGTCTTCAAGGGAAGGCTGGACAGGCATCTGGCTGGGTCATCTGACCCAGCACTCTTCCCTGCCCAGGCCGGGGGTCGGACTCGATGATCTCCGAGGTCCCTTCCGCCCCCGGCACCACGAACCCCTGCAGCGCAGCGCAGCGCAGCGCCCTCCGCCCGGGTCACCCCCTGCTTCCTTTGCCCTCTCTCCCCTGGTCCCGGCGGACCCTGCACCCTCGGCTCCTCAGCTGGGCTGCAAGGGGCTTTCCCCGGCCACCAGCTGGGGGACCGGCCCGCGGGAGGCGGCGGGGGAGGCAGGGGATGGATCCACCCCTCGGGGTCGCGCGCAGCTGGCGGGATGCCCCCCGTGCGCCGACCTGCCCACGGCCGGCACCTCCCAGGCGGGCGAGGCTGTGCCCGTCCCCTCGGC